TACGTCCGCCAGGTGAGATATAGCTACTCAGATAACAAAACTTGTCTACTTCCTCTAACCTGCAGTTGCTGAAGATGCCGAAACCAATGCCAATAACTTACGCGATCTGGATGTATGTCACCCGTACTCGGATGAATCATAGGCATGTAGGGTGAGTTCGGGATATCCTCATCCTCATACAGTATGTGCATCGCGTATTCACCTGGCTGGCTGACTGTGTAGGTCACACGAGCTGTGCCATCACCGTTGTTGAAACAATCCATTCGAGCCTCACTTGGGCCCTCAATTGAAAAGCCTGAAATGAACGGGTAGGTCAGATACATATAGCAAAGAAAATGAGAATAAATACGGGCAGTAGAATGAAGTGAAGAAACATGGAAAATGGATCAAACAAAGCAAGCGATCTTGATCACCATCAAATAGTCTGACAACCACACATTCTTCAAGTTCAGTCCACGTAAAGAAACACTCAAATTGATTACTTTTCGATACAAATCCTCTTGAAATATAGGAAGAACCGGAACAGCCCATACTCATGCTAAATGCGTCTAAGTTTGGCTTTGTGATGCTGTCGAGAAATTTCGGACTCAAGGTTAAATATACCGTTCGAGGAATTGTACATTTCCCATTTGAATAAATGTTATCAACGGACATCAGACCTGTAAAACGCTGACATGATGAGGGTTAGTGCGGACGTTCAGAAAAAATAGGTTGAAAAATAAAAAGGAGGAATTTCAAGCTGTGATCGTATTGTCGAAAAAATCACTTCATTTTTAACGAGAGGCATAAATGTCTAAAGGAATTAGGATTAAGGGTTCTACTTACGAGTAAGAGCGAGTGAGGAGGGATCAGTCACACAGACTGTGTGAGAAACCAGCCCCAATACTGCGCGTAAATTTCAGTCAGCTGCATGCAGAACGGATTTGCCATTGTCGCTCTTAGGGAACTATTTCCTTCACTTTTACTACATAGCCAGCCTAATATACATATAGGGGGTAAACCTTGATGGCACTGGGCTAGAATATCATGTTACAAGAGGAAGATAAAGTACAGATGGACATTCCACAATAAGCAGTCAATTCAAGACTTCATCCTAAGGATCAACTAACGAACGGTATAATGCTGATTCGTGTTAAAAACAGAAGGCAAAGCCCTGAGTGAATTTTAAAATCATCAGTTATAGAACGCAAAATTAAGTGAAACGGAGAAGATAACTATTAAGACGGGTATCAGCTAGTGTATTCATCTGCACTAGATTCTATAGATTGATGAGCTGGAAAAAAACAATAAAATAACCCGATGACCTCACCGATTTTACTGCTTTCTTCACGGCAACACACTGTGAAAACGTTCGGATGATTGACAACGCCAGCAACCAGACCGGGACCGAAAGCTGTGATACCACACTTTTTATGTGGGCCCACGACAATCTGAAAGACATCGAATTCAATGCAAAAGAGTGAATTAGCGTTACCGGATGCCTGCGAATAATCAATAGGGGTACGTAGTTGGTGAAGCCCATATGAGGAATTTTCGCCCACAAACAGTGCGCCATTATGTGCGATCATACGGCGCGATGCACATTGTTCGTTCAAGCTAGCAAACGGTGGTGGGCAGGGATACGGCAATGGGGTAGGGGAGAAAAAAATTCATTCACTCACACGGTTGAGGTGCATTATGACTCACATTGAACGGGCTGTTTTGAATATCACCGTTCCCGTAAAGGACCCTCAGAGTGTACTTGCCTGGTCGTTGAGGCACGTAAGAGCACGTCCACAATTGTTTGTCTGTCTGCTCCACCCGCACGGGTTCGGACGAGCCGTCTACAAATGCGTGGGCGAAGGTGAAACTAGGAGTGGTGAACACAGACTATCCGGGTATCGAGTGACAGCATAATTACAGTCAACAAGCAGTCCTAGTGTGCAAGTAGTAACGTATAACAGGAAACATGGAATGCTTTGATAATTCGGTTACATTAGCTGTTTAACATTGGTATGCACAATTAGGGAAGGCGAAATCACACAGCCAGCCGAATAGTGCCACTTTTATAAATAAAGACAAAGCATGTACAGCAACATTTACCCATGAGCAAAAACCAATCAAAGCGTTGTCTTATTCGACCTGAATTGACTTGGGATTCAGGTAACCATTATTTAGTTTATACATGAATTTCCTCGTGGAAAAACCAAATGAAAAGTAGAGTGCAAAGCTAGGAAGCACTGGACAGCTGTTTCCACCCGGTTGGGTTTCATCAGCAGTCTGAATCCATCGAACCCAACTGGGGAGTGAAACCGGGACCTCACAGGCAGAACGCAAGCATACTACCCGCTGGATCACCAGCCGGCTGATCAGGCCGTTTTACATTTTCCTTATACGCGGTTCATTTGCTCTCTATACTATGAAATTCACATATAAGCAAACCAAATCCTCCATTTCTTTCATATTATTTTATTCTTCATACATTATACAAAAAGGGGCATATTCAATACTTCCACTTACCAGATCGAACCATTGTTGCTTTGACTTGAGCTTGCTCACCAGCCCGTTCCGTGTGTACCAGAAACTGAACGTCATCCTGGGCGCGAATCCCACGGGCTTGCACGCCCCGTCCAGTGGCGTACACCAGCTCCGGATTGAAAGCTGTTGGGTGAAAAAGATCAATCGAAGTGATAGCAGTGATAAGACTAGATTGGAAACGTACGGGAAAGCTTTTGGAAGTAGATTGGTGATCGGCTCAGTGAATAAGTTGACGTCGACAGCATGCGGAAAAATGAGAGCAGGCATGAACTACTGATTGCATGCGCATCACATGGGGTGCATAACGGATGGAATCGGCGAAATCCTCCGGTTTGTCAGTTGTTTGTTCGTCGAGAGTCGAAAGCAATTTGGGACATTCAGAAGAGTCCATACTTTTAGGCACCGTTGGATTGTCAACGGAATTTGGAGCACTCTCGTTGGTATCCAGTCTGTTCGCTATAGAAAGATATAGGTGTTATCTAGTTTAACAGTCAAAAGAAACGCCACATGCATGTCCTCGCAACTGGCATGCATGATTGTGGCCCATCTATTGATCAGTATGGCGCGGAGCAAATGGAAAGTTAAATATGCGACCAATACACGTAACAAATCATTTTGCAACGGCATCTGTCCTTCATTTGAAGTGATCAGATCATGGCCCAATGATTCGGATATTGTGTGATAGAAAATTCGTCATAATTATGACCACCTAAGAATAATGGATAAATCCAAACAGAAATACATTAGACACCGAAAGTCGCAGCGGGACAATCAGCGACAAAAACGATCGTGATAACACTAGAACATTCTGCTAAACACCACGGTGAAGAAAGAGGAACCGTGAAAAGAATCATCGCCAAAAGAGCGAACGAACATTAAACGGATTGCAGTGACCGAAACAGTCTAAACATCAACGGACGAAACAACGCAAAACTCCATTGCTACAGTATACACGCAAGAGAACCACGGACTCAAACAACAAATAATCAAAAGCGGGAATTAAGAAACCCGCGGATGGCGAATGGACGCCACCCCATCACGTAACCATCACGCAACAACACCCGGTCAACAACACAAAAAAAAGCATTAAAGGCAGTTTCCATTCGTTCACAAGATCATGCGCTTCACTCAGTTCATGCGATAGAAAATCACCTATTTCATTGGCGGATGCCGTTGATACAGCTGCTGGTGGTAGATCTTCAATGGCAGTGATCTCTCCCCCACTGAGGTCATCAAGTGATTGCGGGGCCGGAGGAAGCGATTCCTCCGACTCTCGTCGAACTTTTGCACTTCCTGAGTCGGTTGTATACTCTGGAACGTGGTCCAGAAGACCAAGATTTCCTGTTGAAAAGGGATGGATTGATTTCAATAACAACTAGCTTTGTACACTGAGCGTGCTCTGCGGATCCGATGATCTCCTCCGTGTTTGTCATGCAAATATCATGCAATAAGACATTACCCGAGTTTATAAGCACCGGCTCTGGAAGTACAAACGAAGTGCTGATCTCATCATCAAATCCTCGAACAGCAAGCTTCTCTTTGTTCAATATGTCCGGTAGACAGGTTGCCTCATTTTGTGTGGAACTTAGGTTATCCCGGAAATTTCCCATTACCGGCATTGTCGCTGTCATGAGTAGTTCTGGATCGTGGAGAATTCCACTGTGGATGGAATAGTTTGCATTTCCATCGCCAAACGCTGTAAGGGGAGATAACTGTATGTCACGAATATACTCTAATGTTCCATATCGCAAGCTCGGAGCATGCACATCCAGAGCATGTAACGAAAATGTTTGTGTGAATGTTCACGTGAACCACGAATGAGTAGGCAATTAGTCATGAGAACCAGTTCCGAAATTTCGGGCGTAGATGTGATCATTATATTGGAAAGATTCCATCACACGACTTTCTGGTCAACTGAGCATGAGAAACAACGAACGGAATGGACAGCATGCTCATTGAATAGGTCACCACAGTGGCGGAATGCATGCTCCGCAAATTATCGTGAATGGTTACCTGGTTGCATCGAATGTGGATTTGGTGTCAGGTCATTTGTCTCCAGATTTCCCGTTCGGTTTTCCTCGTCAGTAGTCAGTTTTCCATTGTGTTTATTCGGCTGGGTTAATTGCGCTTTCCCTCCCGGTTTTTGATTATCCCTTTCCATTAAGTTCTCAGGCTGTGGCGAATCGTCGTACCCATTCGTGAATCCATCAACTTGTGTTTGTGTGAAATTCGAAGTGATCTGTGATACACGACCAGTCAAACCGATTTCCTCTGCAGCTGCGGTGTTTTTGATCGGTTTTTGAGCTGCTTCAGCCGCAGCAGTCAGAGCAGCTAAGGCAGCAGCTTTGCACAGAAGTCACAATTAATGGATTAGATTGGATCGTTGTGAACTCAAACGACTGTCACAAACTAAAGGAGATACGTCTTAAGCAACAGGGGCACCCGATATTTTGACATGCGCTTATTCAGACAACAATAAACACTCATCGAAAGGAAATAGATCCGGAAGCGAAACACCGTAGAAGAGATTCACGAATATCTTGTTAGACAATCTAAAATCTTCATGCGACAGCGTACCAAACCAAAAGACAGAAACTAAAACCAGAGCACGAAAGTATATGGTTAATGGTTGTGCAAACTGAACTGTATCAAACCAGACATCGATCAAAGAAGTCCAGCAATGTCTTCAGGTCAACCGAGAATAAGCGTATCTTCACAGCGTGCCGGTAATCACACACGCACATAAGTTCTTTGCTGCTGTACCCGAATTTTGCCACAGCCACCCGACTGGCTCCTCATTTTATGGGTCTATAGTCCGCAATCCGATAATAACATTCCACTTTTAGATCGTGCAAAAAAGAATGCAGAGCACCGATTTATTAAAATTTAGATCCTCTGAAAAGCTTGAAACTGACGTTCATCTACACTTGGCAGTATAATATCCTTTGCAAAGTCTAGATCAGGTGAACCGTCACCCGGGGGCCATATATATTTATATATTTACCACCGGCTTGAGAACAAGCATGGTACCAACGCAACAACAATGACAGTGAAGGGGATAGGTGGATTAGGATACAGAACATGGTGAAAAGTGGGTGAGACAGTTAAACATGGAAAATACAAGATAACAGGGGGCCATATTGATGCAGCTTTCCTCGAATAAAGAGAATTCTGTATACAGAATCATATCCAATACCAAATTAAATGAGGAAATGGAGCACAACTCTAACAAACCGCTTTCCGAAGTGAACGCGGGCGAGATACGAACCATACGCTGGAACTCGGTCTCGGATATTAGTACAAAGGATTGTAATAGGGAAATGAACTCCGTCACACCCTCTAGGGGAAGTGACTAGATATGTATATTCCAGAATTCGATGAACGGTAAAACATGATCGATTCATCCTCAAACCAGCATGGTGCACACATGCGCGGTGTTCACATGCAGCAGACAGTCGACAATATTATGTTGGCAAGGGGTTTAGAGATGATGTCGAATAAGTAAGCTCTCAAGGTTTTCACAAAGGGATCTAACCTGCTCGTCGTAAATCAGTTAAAAGATTGACTTAAACTGTTCAGCGGCAATTCGTTTATTTTTCCAAAAGTTTTATCCACCCCAATACCAAGACTGAGCCTTCTTCGCTCACTCATTCAATCTTCAAGGATGGAAACGATTAGATAAAGAAAATTATGTAAATTCAAGTAGGACGGAAGTGACTATCCGCTTGTACAAGTTATGGCATGCGCGTGTGGTACGTACAGGGAGAACCGAGTAGCTTTGGTGCATATCACTATGAGAAGAATAAACGGAAATCGAAACTGCCAAATGAACGGCTGTTAGGTATCCGGGTCGTACGAATTTGTTTCGATGTCATATGCCATGCCATGCCATGCGACATCAGTGATAGACTCATACACTTATCGAAAAGAATCAAACACCGCATAATAATTCAGCACAGGTCAATTGAAGACAGGCTTACCTTTGCCCGACTCTCCTACAGAGGNTATATATATATATATATATATATATATATATATATATATATATATATATATATATATATATTCACCCATATTTTCCTTAAAATCTAGGCATGTAATCAGTGTTGAGTACAGGTGATAAGCACTTACGGGGAGTCACCGAAACCGGAAATGGCGATGCTGGGACTTGTTGACCAGCGAAATAAATGAGCACCTGGTGCATGCCCGGATCTTTCGGAG